TATCGCGTCTAGTTAGACGCTTGAACATTTTGAACCCATTCGCGCATCCGCGTCACTCGCGAATAAAAAAACAACAACACAATTTCTTTCTGGCATACGTTTCCGTCATGTCTGAAATAAAACATATTGCTGCTCTGTACTTGTTGTGGAAGTCCCAAATATGGAGGAAAGCCAAACGCCGACGTGTCTGTGTATATTTTCAGCACTTACCAGGTAGTCCAACTTCCTCGCTTATTTTTCTCCAAGCTATTTCCTTTTTTGCCGGTCTCTGTGAGTATCGTATATTTCAGGGTACCCACAGACGGCAACAATTAGCATCTCCTCCATTTTCGACAACAGTGATAGACCGGACGTATCAATTAGCTCTTTGTGGATTGGCTGGCGCAACAAAGCGTCATGCGAATCTTCCGCTCGAGTTCAAATTTTTCAACTTGCACGGAAGACGCGCCCGGCGCGAATGATGCGTCTATAAGAGCGTCTTTGCATCGACTTTGTATGTAATCTACTCGCGCAAATAATTAAATTGGCGTTCGGTGTGAACACACCATTAGGAATGAAATATTCCCCCAAAAGAGGCAAGAGAGCAGAAAAGGCCTCAGTCGTCAGGGCAACCATCAGATAAGATGATTTTTATTGCTCTAAAAAATGTGGTCATGTGATAAGACAGAGGCCATAGGAAAGACAGAAACGGACCTTAAATAGACTTTCCTGCATTCATTTAGAGACAAACTGATCTATAAATGAACATGCATCCCAGAACATTGTGTGAATGATTTACTGTCTTGTGTAGTGTCTTTTAATTCTATTATTTTTTTGATACTGTGTATTTTATGATAGAACCAACGGTCAATGTAACCTCACCTACTGGTACTTTGAAGATCGAAATGATTGTGTACATGATATGTCGATCGCTGCGCAACATATTAGTATTACAAGAATCTTTCATAGTTTCTTCATCAGCAACCAATCCAGCTGCACATGCAAATGAGCATGCTTAAAACAAAGATCCATAAGTCAACAACAGAGGAATTTTACGGCTTGGAAATTCCACCCTTCTCATTGGTCAAGCAAACCAATCAAATCAAAAAGAGGTGGGGCTTTTCTCAGGCTTTATTAGAGACAAATTCACAGTGACCCGCTCTCTCTTCTTCTGGCCTCTCCTGCTGCTTCTCCGGGTTGTCGTCTGTGGTAGGGGTGTGACGGTTATTATATAACCGTGAGACCGACGGTTATAGTTGAACACCGTCATTAGAACTCTATAACCGCCAAAACCGTGCTATTAAAATATTGTTTACAAAAATGTTTTATCATAGAGAATGTTTAAATACTAATATCAGCTTAAGAGGGAAACGGAGGCTGCTAGTGCTGGAGATGATTCGGGAGAGGTCTGTCTGTACTTTACCGATCAGAGCGCGCGCTGACACGGAGTAAAGCCTTGTTTATACTCGACGCATCCGCACGATCGCGAAGGTGCGCGCTTCAAAAATGACGCGTTCGGTGCGCAAGACCGGCAAGACCCCATTTGGCTTGGCTGTGTGCACGGCTTTTTTTTTGCAACAGCGCGCGGCGCCGCGTCCGAGGATGACCGACTTCAAGCCGAATCTGCCCGAGCATGTAGGCTACGTCTCACCGCACCGGCACGCAGTTTGCGCGTCTAAATTGCAAAGTTCATTCCAAAGTTTTTTTGTTAAGGTTTTGTTTACTGTGTGATACATATAATGGAAAGCACATTCACTTCTAGTTGTCTTGCTGTTCATGTTAAATAAACGTAGAGCCAGTAGCTAATCAGTGTCTGCTTGTTTATTCAAACTAAGTTGTCCTATAACAGACGAACAGTTATTCAACACCCCCCGACGGTTATGTTACGAACCGTCACATTTGACTCACGTCATAACCGTCATCACCAATTCTGAAACCGGCACACCCCTAGTCTGTGGGGACCCCCACCGGGGCCCATGGGCCACAGCCTGCTATGCCTTCACTCTCCCAACAGAGTCAGACTGTATTCTCTTCAATCCAACTCAGAAGAAAACTGCAACTTTACCATCACTGAACGGGCAACCATCAACTCTTCCGACTTCCTCACTCCTGGGTTTCCTGCGTGTCCTCAGCCATGTGCTCATGGAGAGAGAGAAAACCGTCAACCAGAACAGTCTCAAACAAACCACTCAAGTTCATCAACTTTTCTTCATTCAACGCCGAAGAAATCGATTGAGACTAATGGAACCATCGAAATCCTTCTTCAGGAACTTCACAAAATGTTTCCACTGCAAAGGCCATGCAAGTATACATTTAATGAGGTGCTCTGAAAATAAGAGGCTGATGGATTAGTTATGTTTGTGATTTAGTAAATAAAACTTGTGCACAATACGTATTTGGTTCCGTTTCACGCCTGTATCAAAGTCAATTTTACGATCTTGATCTTGTTACACGCTCTAAGCACTGTACATGCTAAGAAAGAATTATTTTTCTGTGACCATGAAAAACACCCTTTTCTTAGCATAAATTAATAATCAAAAGAGTTCGTTCGTTTCAGATGTGGTTCTGCCAATATCTGGTGCAGATCACAGCTGATGTGGTCGGGTCAGCCAGGTCCTGGGCGCTGCACTGAGGGGCGTTTTCACACTCCAGTAGATGGGACATTGTCTGTACTGCTCCGCAGCTACACGTGTCGTCTGTCTGGTGGTTCCATGTTTTCATAAGTGCTTTGCACCGCCCCTGTTCCACTCGTAATCTGTTGAGGGTCTTCCAGGTTAGCCATGGGAGGTCGTGCCCGCTGGCGAGACATTCAGTCGGGGTGATTCCTCTCTCCATCCAGTCCAGGGCTCGTGTGTTTAGCTGGTTCCATTCATCTTTCCAAATATTGGTCCTTGCTATTTCTTTGGTTGTCTGGAGAGGTGGGACTGTCAGCAGGAAACTGGCTCTCGATTTCAGACGGGGTGGGGGTGCTATGTGTCCCCGCAGGGGGTGCCTGGTGTCAAACTCCTGTGCTCTCCGCTCGTCTTGGGCGACGATGGATCGTCTGATGTGTGTGTATGTGTGTGTGTGTGGGGGGGGGGGGGCAATGCCAGCTAGGGCGTAGAGGCACGGGACTGGCGTTGTCTTTATACACCCCGTGATAATGCGGCAGGTGTCGTTGAGGGCTGTGTCAATCAGTTTGGTATAGTGGGAGCGGCCCCAGCTTGAGCACGCGTACTTGGCTGTGGGGAAGCACAGGGCTAGGGCAGTTGCATGGGGGGGATAATATTATTAATTATGCATAATATTAATTTAGCTACAACAAGTTAATCCAATTAACTGACCCAAATATTCATAATTAATCATAACAACTTATGTGTTATTAATATTTCCCCTTTGAGCTTCCTCGTTACATCACCATCATCATCATCATGAGCCGTCCGTATCGTCTGTACACAGTTTATTACTACCCATTACAATTATATCAGATGAAACAGCAGCTACATTAATTCTTCTTCTTTTGCTTCCCTGTTTCTTCCTCTTAATCCTATCCTGGAAAACTACAGTTTGGATCCAGCCTTGGCAATGGTTTCAGTCCAACTGAGAAGAT